TGGCAAAGTTATGTGGCGCCTCGCGGGAAGTGTCCACGCCCGGACCATTGGCCGTGGGATCTCGGGGGTATGACATGTTCGGGCGTCTTCCTGGTGACATAAACAAGCTTTTGTTGTCTGCTGTGGCTTGGTCGGGATTCTGGCCCCCAGGGCGCCTGGTCTGTCCTCGGAGTCTGAGGCGAGACGAAGGACGAACCAATCTTCAGGCCGAGGGTTGAGCAGCTTCTTTCAATGTTTGAAGTTTGGGCTGGTCGGTCCGACATGCTTCGCGATGGCGCGAGAAAAGTTGGGCGGTTCTGCAGGGCTGTCTTCTCCCCGTTCCTCATCGGCATCGTTGGGGGAGAGTTTGGGGTCCAGTTGTTGCTCTGTTCGCTATAATCCTGGATTCAGGTTGGGAACTTCAGAGTGGGTGAATGGCTCGCCCCTGGGCGTGATCCCTTTTTGCCCCTCTGCTATTGCTTCCCGGTGCCATCTCACCTTTTTTCGCGCGCGAGTGATGCCCTGCGTCCGCATGGGCCGCCGCTGGGCAGCACAACTGTGGTCGAGGTTTCCTCATCAGCGCTGATTTCACCGTCTTCAGGGCCGCGCGCAAGAAGTTGCGCGACGAGGGCAGTTTCAAGCGAGCAGCTTTGTTGCGCGCGATCGTTGTCGGAGCGCGCTGGTCAGAAACCTGCCTGCAGGGCGCAGGATGCCCCGCGGACGGTAAATCTGCTCGGTGCTGGTGATGCTAAAGAGTCTCCCCTGCACCGATGCTGGAGGTGTCCAGCTACCTCTCTGTTGCCTGACCTCGTCATTGCGGGTAGTTGGTCGATGAAATCATGTTCGCCGGCTCCGAGAGCGCCTTTTTCACCCGTGGGCTTCCGCTTCTGGAGGCCAGTTGTGGGCACCTTCTTCCTCCTCAAAACACCGCGTGGGCCTGGGGTTTGATCCGCGCGCACAATGTGACGGTAGGTTTCTGGGGCCCCGATGGCTCAGGAGGCAGGTATGTGACCGACAAGATACCTAGACCATGCGGGTGGTTTGCCGCCCTAAGAATTTCAATTGGACTGCGTGGCGTGTGGAAGTCCTCCTACTGTCGAGCACTCAAGTCCGAGAGCTGGCTTGTATGCGTTCCTCATGGTGATTGTGAAGGCCTGACGGCCTGTGCCGCCAACCCTGAAAGACATCGACGACGACCAGGAGGGGGAGGATGACGAAAAGGAGGAGGAGGAGGAAGAGGAGGAGGAGGAGGAGGAGGCGGAGACAAGGAGGAGGAGGAGCAGCAGGAGGAGGAGGAGGAGGAGGAGGAAGAGGAAAGGAGGAGGAAAAGGACTCCCCCCTGGGACCCCCCCCTGGGGAGGAGGACCGGAGGAGGACCGGCGCGGGACAGGGGAGGAGAGGGGGAGGAGGACCCCCAGGGACGGATGCGTATCTGACTCCCCTCCCCCCCGTGGGATTCCTCCCCACCTGGGCAGGAGGACCCGAGGAAAACCGGCGCGCCGGAGAAGGACCGACGTGGGAGAGGAGGACCCCCAGAGGCGATGCGAATCTGACCCCCCCCCCCGAACCCACCCCCCGCCGGGGAAAGAACAAAGGGAAGGGGCTTCCTTTTGACGTAATGAAGACGTGGATGGAATTCCCTGAAGCTGCGAACCCGTTCCCCGAACGAGGAACGGTGATCTCTCTCTCTCTCTCTCTCCCCCGACGGGAGAGGAGGATGGGAAGGAGGGGGCGAAAGAAGGCTCCCCGTCGACGGGAGTGGACAGACACCCCACACACGCCGACAGGGTCGGCGGATTCTTCACAGTGTTGGCGCTATTGCCTGTTATTCTGATTAGTTGCATGTGGTCAGAGCAGTAGGCAGCTGCGAGTTCAGGCAGTCGCCTCCAATTCGATGCTCAACATCTGGTCGCGGATCCGGTCGGTCCTCGATCGTCGCCTTGGTCGCGTCGAAGCCCTGTGGGCCCAAAAGCATTCGACGGTCCACCAGCGGACCAAATTCGCCATTGGTGACGAAGTGTTTGTTTGTTTGAAGTGGTGTGCTGATTCATTTGCGGGCTGGGCGGCTGATGCATGCAATCCTACTCTCGAGCACTATGATTCGACAGGAGCAGTATGATTCGACAGGGTATATCGACCGCTTCGCCTCGTCGAGGTTGGATCGGTTGCCTGCTGTGCACAGGGAGGTTGTCCAGGCAAACCCTCGTCGAGTTGCGGACAGGCCGGCTGGCCGCCTCCCGTCCTTCAGTGTAAGACGTCAACGGTTGCGGAGAGGTGGCCACGAGGTTGTCGAGTCAAATGGCGCGCTGAAATGTCAGGCTTGCGTTCGTCAGTCTTTTCCGCGTGGTCAAGTGCGTTCTTTGTGCCCTGGACCCTGCTTCAGTTCTGGGCACCGTGCTGCTGACCCCCTATCAGGCTCCCTGTGTATCCTGCTTGTCCTGCCACACGCAAGTTTCAGGTGTTTCGAGGGGTCATTTACCGTGGCAGATGTGGCGTCTTTGCCACCGTGAATGCACAGAGTCTTGCTTATCTGTGTAAGGCCATTGATCGGCCCCGCCCCACTACAGCTTGGAAGGAAGTGCTGCCCCGTGTGTCCAGGGGCATCCTCCTCAAAAAGCGGAGGTGGCTCCCCCACAATGTGATGTGCACAGTATGTGTCCAGGTTTGACCACTGGTATCTGAATCTGAATATGAATCCTCCCCTTCCTCCTGCTCCTGCTCTTGTTCTTGCTCCTGGTCCTCCTCCTCCTCCTCCTTGTCCTCGTCCTCCTCCTCCTTCCCCTCCTCCTCCTCCTCCTCCTCCTCCTCCTCCTCCTCCTCCTCCTCCTCCTCCTCCTCCTCCTGTCACCTGTCACATGCTACCTCGGTCCCTGCGGCGTTCGTCCTCCTCCTCCTCCTCCTCCTCCTCCTCCTCTCCTCCTCCTCCTCCTCCTCCTCCTCCTCCCTCTCCTCCTCGTCCTCCTCCTCCTACCACTCCTCTTCCGCCTGATTCTTCTCGTCCCCTTCCTCCTCCCGCTCCTCCTCCTGCTCCTCATCCTCTTCTCTCCCTCCTCCTCCTCCTCCTCCTCCTCCTCCTCCACCTCCTACTTCAACTCTTACTCCCACTACTTCTACTCCGACTCCTATTCCTACTCCTACTCCTCTTTCGCCTCTTCCTCCCCGTCCCCCTCCCTCCTCCTCGGTTTGGTTCCGGTTCGATCTCAGGCAAGAGGGCCGATGCTTATACAGATCAGGGGCAGAGCAGAAGGAAGCAGGGGAGAGGAGCAGAGGCAGCAACAATAATCCTACGGGAAGAAGGAGAGCGCTGCTGCCGCGCAAACGCCCGAGCCCACAAGGGGCACTCGCCTGCGCTACTACCTTTGGCATGGGTGTACATGCGAGGCGGACGAAGAAAGAAAGGCAAATAACAAAGATGAAGTCGTGTGGGCGCCTGCGAGTAGAACAGAGCATGCAACCGGAAACAAGTGTGCCTCATTCTATGGGTCCAAAGAGGCGTGAAGTCTTCTGAAGCCCTCGGGAAGAAGCCAACCATCTCCTGGGTCCGACAGGTCCACATCTTCCTCCTCATCCTCCTCCTTCTCCTCCTCCTCCTTCTCCTCCTCCTCCTCCTCCTCCTCCTCCTTGCGCCTGGCCCTCGGGCCTGAGCGCTGGGCTGCACGCACGGACACTATGCGTAGTGTCTGTGCGTGCGTCCCGCGGCTTCGCGGTCCCTCGTCGCCTGTCCCTCGGGGCGGTGGCGCGGGCGGGAGCGGGCGCAGCACGACGCGCCCCCTCCGACTCGCGGCCATCATCCTCCTCCTCCTTGTCCTCCTCCTCCTCCTCCTCCTCCTCCTCCTCCTCCTCCTCCTCCTCCTCCTCCTCCTCCTCCTCCTCCTCCTCCTCCTCCTCCTCCTCCTCCTCCTCCTCCTCCTCCTCCTCCTCCTCCTCCTCTCTGACCCCGTCAGATTGGGAAAGCTCTTGGGAAAGCTCCCCCTCCGCCTCCTCCTCCGCCGCCTCCTCCTCCTCCTCCTCCTCCTCCTCCTCCTCCTCCTCTTCTACTCGTCCTCCTCGTCTTCCTCCTTTTCCTCCGTCTCCCCCGACGACGACCCTCGAAGTACCCCCCCCGACGAAACCGACACCTCCCAGCCACTCCAGCACTCCCTCCGCCTGCGCCGACTGGTCGGTGTCGCCGCCGTAGTGTCCGTAGCCTCGTCGCGGGTGGCCCGTATCTCCGGGCCCTTGTTCTGGCCCGTTGCGGTTGCTCCTCTCTCCCTCCCCGTCGTCTCCCGTCCCTCCGCCCCCTCACCTTTTTCCTCCCTGGCTCCTCACTTGGCTCTGCTCCCGCCGGCCCGCCCGCCCGCTTCGCCCCGCGGGCCGGTGCCTCCCGCGTTCGCGGTCGCCGCAGCCCGCTTGCTTCTCGCCGCCTCCTTTCTCCTCGTCGCCGCCGCGCAGTACAGGCCGCCGGGAGCAGGCGACGGACACCACATCTTGGCCAGAGGGGCATTTGGGTGTGTGGGGGGGGGAGCTGGGGCGTCAGGGGGAGATCCTGCCCGGGGGGGACGCATGGATCCCCAGTCGCCCACGGATCGCCGACGGGGGCCCGACAGGCCCACCCCACCCAGGAGCGGGCGGAGTCGCCATCGGGGGCACATCGCCAATCTTCGGCGACGTCTCGCCGATTCCAGGTCGATGTTTCCTCCCCTGAGCTGGTCCCCCCGAACGTTGCCCTCGAGGAGTCGGGAGCCTTGAGTCGGGGGTCAACGCAAACGGGGCTCAGCCGGAGCGCTGGGTCTTGCAGGATCCTGCAGAGCCAGGGTTTCATTGACCCTGGGCTGGCGCGCAGGAACCTGCAGGATCCTGCAAGGCATGACTAGCCCGGGTCTGCACTGACCCGGGTCAGTGCGTCTTTGAGCGAGGGCGGAGGCGGAGGAGGAAGGGGCAGCCGTCCGTGCCGCAGCCTCCTCTCTGCAGGCGGCCCGGGGAAGGCCCGCCCCCGCTCGGCGCAGGGCGCTGCCCTCCCCCCGGTCGCCTGGCATGTCGCCATGGCGGCCGCCGGGGCCGCGGGCGTGCCGCCAGGCCGCACCGGCTCGGAGAGGGCAGGGGAGGGCCTGAGGGAGGGGGGGGAGGGAGGAGGGCGTGGGAGAGGAAGACAAGCTGGATGTGCTGGCGTCACATCTGACGTCCCTGGGGCTCCTTTTTGGGGGCCGTCTTGGGGCCCTCCTGGGCCGTCTTGGGCGCCTCTTGGGCCCTTTGGGGCGCTCTTAGTCAGACTTGGGGCCCTCTTGAAGACCTCTTGGGCCATTTTGGGGTGGCCTTGGAGGTCTCTTGGGCCGTCTTGGAGCGTCGGAAATCCGAAAAGGCGAGAACGCCAACATCCTTCAAAAACGCACGGGAAATCAATGATGTTTGCCTGTGGGGGGCCCTCTTGAGACCTCTTGGAGGCCTCTTGGGGCGCCTTGGAAGCCTCTCGCGCCATCTTGAGGCCATCTTGGGCGTCTTCGAGCGATCGTTCGGCGACTCGGGTCCCTCTTGGACCGTCTTGGGGGCCCCCTGGGCCGTCATGGAAGCCTTGGAGAGCCCCGGGGAGGCGCCATGGCCACCGCACGCAGCGAGGCGCTACCCGAGAAGGTGGGGCCCCTTGAAATATTACAGAATCCCTGCCAGTCAGCACTTGGCACTCTACCACGCCTCAACGTGCCAGGGGGCACGGTGGCGGATTGAACAAGCGTTCCCGAAGAAGCGGGGGCCAGAAGAATTTTGAACCCAGCATCTCGAACGACCGCGATATTGGCCAAAGTGAAGGCCGGGGGGGAGGGGGGGGGAATTCGGTAATGTATTTTGTTCGTGCGCTGTTGTTGCAAAGTGTTGTCCTTCAGTCGTTTCTGTTTTTGTTGGCTGGGTTGGGCCGCAGTCATGGGCTGTGAAGGCATCCTGCGCCTCTCTTCTCTCGCAACGTGTCTGGGCTGGCCCAGACGGCCCCCCCAACCCGCCAGGATGCCGCAGAGATGGTTCTCTCGAGCTTGCTCGAGAGAACTCGGCACGACGATCGCGCCCAAGACTGCCCCGCTGTCCCCGAGAGGCATTCAACAGGCCCCCTCGAGACGTCTCCGAGACCGCGGTGGCGGGGGCCTGCCGCGCGCAGGAGGGAGGGAAGGAAGGAGGGGCGGGAGGGATGGAGGATCGAAGGAGAAGCGAACGAGATGGCAACGGGAGGCGGGAGGGGAGGTGAGGTCGGGGCTCGAGAGATGGGGGTCCATGCAAACGGGGTCAGTCAGGGCGCCGGATTTTGCAGGATCCTGCAGAGCCAGGGGCGCATTGACCCGGATTTGGGTGCAGGATCTTGCAGGATCTTCCAAGGCCTGATTGACCCGGGCCTGGATTGACCCAGGTCAGCAGACCACCGATGAGGGAATGGGAGGGTGCGCAGGGAGGATGATGCAGGGTGCGGATGGGTTCGGGGCGGTCGGGGCTCTTCGCATTGGATCCATGGTGACTCTGAGGGGGGGCATCTGCAGCACATTGCCCGAAGGCCTCTCATGTTCGTCATGATGCGCGTAACGTTGGCAATCTTCATTCCCATGCGGCAAACTCTAGCACGGCTTGCTAGATGTGAAGAGCGCGCGAGACCCGCGCGTGTTTTTAGCTGGTGAGGGGGAAGTCCTCAGGGCGAGAGCCCACGTTGAAGGGGAAGCGCCCTCCATCCCGCCATCCGTGCGATCGTTAGGCTGTCTGGAAACGTGTTTTGCGCGGCGCCACGGCCAGAGCGTCATTCTTGACAAAGGAGCCGCTCTGCATCCGTGCAGCTGCCGGACTGTTCTGAGGTTGGGTGGGGCATATCCCTCTCCAGGAGGAATGCTCAATAATAGCAGACAAGACTAGTCTGGGGACGATTTTCGTGCTCACTTGATCACTCGTTGAGTATTGTCAGTATTGTGATGTATCGTTGCATTAATTTATCTAGTTATGTATGTATTAGTTGATTTCTTCATTCATTTTGTAGCATCATTAAAACTATCATGATTCATATGATCATTCATTATTAGTAGTATTAGTTTACTTACTACTATGACTGCTACGTTTATAGATGGTATGATTCTTGCTATTGTTAGTATTATCACGGTTTATCATGCTACTATGTTTTGTCTGTCCTCCCGAATCCGCCTGCAGGTGTACATGCCCAGCCCAGCGACCGTTTCACGCTGCGCGTGCCTGGCGCCGAGGCGCGACTCGGCGCCCCGGCCAGAGCCTCCTCGGGAAAGAGCCGCCCGCCCCCCATCCTGGGCCGCTGCTGGAGCTGCCAGGCCTCGGGGACCGCCCGCAGTGAGGACGCCTCGGACGAGGCGCTCGGCCCGCTCCAGCGGCACGTCTGGTGCGACAGGGGGGAGGCTTCCGATGTTCCAACCTGTTCTAGCCTTGATCACCAGAGGGAATTTCGAGCACCAGGAAAGTACGGCAACTGGAGGGGTTTCACGCGTCGGGTCCTGGGAGGCGTGATCGTTTGACACTTTTTCGATATTTTGCTGGGTGCTCGGGGTTATTTCTGGGATGTGGTCCGTAAGTACGATGGGGGCAACATAAGGGGAGGCATCTGTAAGGAAGATCCTGAGATCCTGGCGCTGCCATGTCTTCACAACGGGCATTTGCGCTCGATTTGGGGCCCCGGGATCCTCGCAGATCGATCCGGCTCGAAAAATGATGCAGAACGATGGGGTCCGGGGATCTGGGCGTGATCTTTTGCGATATTGAAATTGTCTCGCAACGTCGGGTCTCAGGGGGGGTAGAGGACCGAGGTGGAGGCCCCCTCCTCTGAACAGTTAGTTTTTGCGGGTGCTTCCCGCTTGCGCCGGCAAGCAGCGGCCGCGACGACGACGACGACGACAACGACGACCACGACGGACCGACCAACAGACCGACCGACCGACCGACCGACCGACGGACCGACCGACCGACGGACCGACGGACCGACCAACCGACCGACCGACGACGACTGCGACGACGACGCCCGATGCGGTGGCGACGTCCACGGCGACGCGCCCAACCGAACCGCCAGATGACGACGACGCCTGTTGGTGCCCGCCCGCTCGCTTGCATGAACAGCTGCCTAATATGCCACATGCCACGCCCGCCCGTCAGCGTCCGCTCGCCCATCCAGCCCGTGAGTGTCCGCTCGCCCGCTTGCATGGAAGCTCGCCCGCTTGCTTTCTTGCCCCGCCCGCCCGGTTTGCTCGCCAGGGCCCGTCGTCGTCGTCGTCGTCGTCGTCGTTGTCGGCATTGACGTCGTGGTCGTCGTTGATAGTCGTCGTCGAGGTCGAGGCACCGTCGGTCGTCGCAGCCCTTGTCGTCCATCGCTGTCGTCGTCGCCGTCGTCGCAGCTGTCATCGCAATCGGTCATCGGACATCGTCCTCGTCGTCGTTGGTCGTCATCGTTGGTCGTCCTGTCAGTTACTACACGCCCGCCTGTTCGCAGAGGCTCTCGATAGTCTCACGGCTTCCTTTACAGGGTCTGCCGTTCGGACTCGCTTGCAATGCGCTTAAACGTAACCTCCTCCTCCTCCTCCTTCTCCTTCTCCTCCTCCTCCACAATTACTCAATATGAATACTACTCTCCCTCTTCCCCTGATCACGGTTTGAAAGTGGCCGACCCCCCCCCGCGTATTGTTTTTTACCCACAGGTTTCACTGGAGCTGGGTTTTCGCCTGCATGTTTTTTCAAAATGCTGCTCTCGCTGAGGCGCCGGCCTCATTTTTGGGCCCCGCTCTTTCCGAATCGTGCTCCCGCTGCAGCGCTGGCCTCATTTCCGTGCTTCCGCTCGTTCCGAATCGTGCTCCCACTGCAGCGCTGGCCTCATTTCCGCGCTTCCGCTCGTTTCGACTCGTGTTCCCGCTGCAGCGCTGGCGTCATTTCCCGTGCCATGCAACGGCATGCAATGCAATGCTAGGTTGATACTACGCTTTGCGGTGCTCTTCTACGCCATGCCATGCCGTGCTCTACAATGCATCGCGTACCCTTTCGGGATCATTGCCCTGCTCGACATCCGACTGAGCGAGTAGAGAGGGGATCTGCGCCATGGTAAGGGATGGGAGGGAGGGGTAGGATGTCAGATATGACGCGAGCGCACCTAGCTTGTCCTCATCCCCTCCTCCGCAGCCAGCCTGACCAATCTTTTCGGTTCCAGGCCGCCGCGCGGGACCCGGAATTTTTTGTAGCTCCATCCCGGCCGGCCAGCCGCACGCGCTCGCCCTCCTCTGGCGGCACCTCGGCATGCCTCGGCGAATGCCAGGGGACCCGTGGCGGCCTGAGCCGATGCACGTCCTGATGCTGCCGGGCGCAGCCTTCGAGGACACCGCCCCTGACGTACCCGTCGGCGCCATGTCCCCCTGCTCCTCGTCCTCCAGCATCGGCGAGTGGGCTGTCGGCCGGGCGCACGCCAGGGACACAGACGCCGCGGCGGACGCGGGCATGGACGGGCCCCTGACGAGGGCCAGCCTGAGGCTGGAGCTCCAGCGCTTCGTGCACGGCCCGCTGTTGGCCCATCTGAAGGCCGCCACGGGCGACTTACTGCGCGCGTGCGGCGCCGAGGCGCAGGCAGGGGTCGACCTCAGCAGTGTTTGGGCGGTTTCGTGGGCTGTTTTCGTTTCGGCCTCGTTCCGCAGCAGAGGCCGATTGGAGACAGAACGAGGGGAAACGAAAACAAAACGAAAGCGGAAGGCACTGTTTAGGTCGATCCCTGTGCCGAGGCGCAGGGCTCGATGCCCCCCAGAGTGGCTGCCAGCCGCGCCCCGCAGCTGGAGCACTGCAGACGGGCTGCCAGCCTCCCTGCACCAGGTACCCAATACTCACCAGCCTGCAGAATGTCCCTATCCCTAGGCCTGGCATCACCTTACCTCGATGCCCATCTTGAAGATTACCTCGGTTCCTGAGGGCTCCCCAAGATTGTCGTCGCTCTGGGCTTCCCCATCTGAAGGGTGGGGATAAGTTCGAGTCTGGTAAGATACCGATACTTGGCCTCGGTTTCGCCTTTTTGGCCGTCCTGGGAGGCCCTCGTCGCCACGGCCAGATTCGCCTCGAAGGTCTCGTCAGAACGCCCCCGGGGAGAGGTCCGAGGAGTACGGGATGGGCCTTCGGAAGTGTGCCCAGGAGGCCTCAGACCCTGGAGGAGTCCTTGTCTGATGATGGCGGCGGTGATATCCGTGGCCGATCCACGATTGGCGTTCCACTGGCTTCCAGACCCTGGGTTCCATATCCAGATGGCTCCTCATCCCCAGGCCCCGACGTCGTGATTGCATGGTTTGTTCATGATGTGGACCCCTAGAGGTCTCGATCCCTTCTCCAGGACCGGTTCTTCATCCTGAGCCGGCGTTTGATAGTCCCTGGTGCATGCGAGGGTTTTCGGAGGCCGAACATTGCCAGAAGCCTCCCGTCGTGATTTGTTCATGGCCCCAGGGGGTTTGGTCCAATGCTCGGGCATTGGCAGAACGTCCGCCCAGACAAGTCGACTGAGGAAATTTGCAGCGGTTCATTAAACATTTGCATTCGAGTGTACCTGTGCAGTCCCCAGTCGATTTCGCTAATCGACGTGCGTTTCGCCAGATGCATTCGCTCGTTTTTGGACGTCGATTCGCTACCCCGCCCGGTCCACTCGGAATGCGGTGCAGTGCGCACGTGGAGTGCCCCTGGCAGTTTTCACGAAAAGGCGTTTGGCTAAAGAGGATTATGTCCACCCAGAGGTGCCTTCTCCGCAGCAGTAGCGGTATGTGCTGGCTCCCCCAGGTCGGGCCCAGAGTCCCGGGGAGCGGAGTTCCGCGTTCCTGATGTCGCCCGGGAGGATCGCGCCCAACGGACGGGTCTCCCGGCGGCCCGTCACCCCCGACTCGCCCGACTCGCCCGCGCCAGTGCTGGCGATGGCGCGCCGCGCCAGCGACGGCGACGCGAACCCTGGGCATGGCAAGGGCAAGGGCGCTTCTATGGTGTGAGAAAGTTTTAGACCTCCCAGATGGGGTCCGAGGAGATGCGGTCGGAGGATCGTGCCGCCTCGCCGATGCGTCGTCAATGCATCGGCGACGTCGGCGATGCATCTGCGACGTCGGCGTGGAGAAAGTCGGGCTCCACATCGAGTCGCATCGCCAATGCATCGGCGAGGAGGCACGATCCTCCGACCCCATCTGCTCTGACCGCATGTAGGAGGCACCAAGGAAACGCCCTAAACCACTCGTGAGTGGTTTAGAGCGGTTCCTCTTCTAATCCCATTTCTTTCCCTTTTGGGAGGGGTTTGTCACTGCTCCTTCTTAATATACACCCCCTCCCCCAGGCGACCGGCGTCCAACCAGGAACCATGCCGACACCATGCTGACCCGCCCCCCACCATCCTTGTCAAAAACAATACAAACCGCATTCTGCTGCCTCCACATTTGAAGCATGCGCGGCCAACCCCATGCGACCCGCCCCCAACATCCCTGTCAGAAAACAATGCAAAGTACACTTTGGGGCAAAGTTTTGAGTCATGTTCGTGAGGCCCGCGAACACTTTGTATTGTTTTTGATAGGGACGGCGGGGGTGCCAGCATATTCCCTGCCGTTCGCAGGGCTACAATCCTTGACAAAAGACAATACAACATGCACCTCGCGGCTAAATCTGGATCATGCGCGGCCATCCCGCGATCACTGTCAAATGGTTTTGACAGGGACCGCGGAGGTGGTGGCGCGTGGCCTGCTGTGCGCAGGCCCACTAGGCACAACGATGGGCATTGGTTTTCGACTAGGATGGCGGGGGCCGACATGTTTCCCGATGTGTGCTGTCACGTGCGCAGGCACACCTGACACACTCTGCACGTGTCCCGAACATGGCGCACCTGGCGCGGCTGGAGTGTTCGGCACACCTGGCGCACTCGGAGCACGTGGCGCATCTGGCGCACCAGGCGTGCTTGGCACGCTTGGGCCCCAGGGGTGCCTGGCGCGCGTGGCGCCCCTGGCACGCGTGGCGCACCTCGCACAAGCGTCGCGCACCTGGGGTCGGCTTTGGTTCCCAGTAGCTGTCCAAGACGACCGCTGAACATGCTCAGGCTCAGGTGTTACTTCTGTGTTGGGAGGGCGGGTAGGAGTGAGCTAGACGGCTTGCGGGCGGGTGGGTGGCTTGACCCTTCCCCCTCCCCCCTCCCCTGGACCTGCACGGAGGATTTCGCGAAGCATCCAAAAACGATGCCTTGGCGAATTGCACTGATCAGGAATGCGGAGGAACATGCAGTGGAACACAAGGTTGGGGACGCCGTCATACCTCAAGATGGGGGGGGATGGAGGAGGAATCAGAGGAGGAGGAAAAAGAGGAGGAGGAGGAGGAGGAGGGAGGGGAAAATGGAGGAGAGAAGAGGAGGAACATACAGATAAGGAGGAGGAGAAGGAGGAGGAGGAGGAGGAGGAGAGCGAGCAGAATGGCGAGAGGTCTCTTGGATGCCTCTCGGAGTTTCTTCGGATGTCTCTTAAAAGCTTCGTGGAGTCCTCTTGTGGTGTCTTGGGGGCCTCTTGGCGGTCCTGGGTGTTTCGGGGGAGCCTCTTGGGGCCTCTTGGCGGTCTCTTGGGAGCCTCTTGGGCACCGCTTGGGGGCCTCTAGGGGCCTCCTGGACGCCTCTTGGGGCACTCTTGGGAGCCTTGGGGGCCATCTTGGGGCAATCTTGGAGGAGGTTTTGTCCTGCACGCTCCGTCACGCGACACGGGCGGATCGTGGCCAGCAGGGCGCCCTCAACAGTGCTTGCAGCCTAGGCGCGACCGGACCCCTCAAGCCACCCCAAGCGATGGGGACGATGAAAGGGCGTTTTGCTAAAGGGGATTCTGGCCACCCCCGAAATGCCCTCACCGCAGCGGTATTGGTACCTTCTGGTTCCCCCAGGCGCTGTGGAGCGGCGTTCCTCGTTCCTGATGTCGCCCCGGAAGAGCGGGCCCAGCGGACGGGTCGCCCGCCGGCCCGTCACGCCCGACTCGCCCGCGCCGGAGCTGGCGCCGGCGCGCCGCCGCGTCAGCGACGGCGACGCGATCCCCGGGCTGGGGCCGGGCGCTTAGATGGTGTGGAAAATTTCTAGGCTTCCCGACGGTGTCTGAGGAGATCACAACCCACCAACCCCACCCCCAACCCAACCCGACGGCCCAACTTGACCCTCCATTTCCAGTGGGGGGGTTCGTGGACCATTGAAAAACACATGTGGAACCTGTACCCTCCCCAACCCGAAACTTGGGTCTTCGGGTTAGGTTGGGGTGGTCTGGTAAGTAGTCAGTAGATGGGGTCGGAGGATCGTTCCGCATCGCCGACGTATCGTCGATGCATCGGCGACGTCGGCGATGCATCGGCGACGTCGGCGTGGAGAAAGTCGGGCATCACATCGAGCCGCATCGCCGATGCATCGGCGATGCGGCTCGATCCTCCGTCGCCGTCTGCTCGGACCCCGCCTAGAAGATTGGGCTTTCCGGGACCCCTGGATATCCTTGCCAAAGGTCCCCCGGCTCGTCCGGGAACTCCCAGGGCGCCTAGCCGCCTAGCCGGGTCTTGCTTCGACCGAAAACCAAACGACACCACCCCACCTACGGCCATCCATGCTGCGCTACGGCCCATCGGGCGCCGTAGCGTATACCACGCAAAAGCGCACGCCAGATTTCCTGGTATACGCTGCCCCTGGTGCCGTAGGTGGGGTGGTGTCGTTTGTTTTCTGGTCCACTGCCAGCAGACCACAAGCGATCCGAGCGGTGATCCGAGAGGCCGAAGCGAGACCCAAGACAGCACACGAGCGTTCCAAGAAGGACCCGGATGGCCTCCAGAGGCCCCGAAGATTAAGTCGGGCCTGTCCCTCTACAGGTGGAATATTCAAAAATAGCCCAAAAAATAGTATGGGGACGATTTTTCAGTATATTTGACCATTTTGAAATATTTCAAGGGTGTTCTTTTTTTGTCGCTCAAATTTCGCCTGTAGGGGAACATGCCCGACCTAACCCTAAGACGGCCCAGGATGCCCTCAACAGGACTTCCAGGGCGCAGAAATTGCTTCATTCCCTTTGTGGGAAGCGTGCAATTTCAGCATCTTCGCTGTTCGGGCGAATAGAGGCTTCACGACCTGCAATGGGCGTCAGGGGAATAGAGGCTTCAGGCCGAATAGAGGCTTCACGAGCTTCAATGGGCGTCAGGGGAATAGAGGCTTCAGGCTGAATAGAGGCTTCGCGAGCTTCACCGGACGTCAGGGGAATAACGGCTTTAGGCCGAATAGAGACTTCACGAGCTACAATGGGCGTCAGGGGAACAGAGGCTTCAGGCCGAATAGAAACTTCACGCGCTTCAATGGGCGTCAGGAGAATAGAGGCTTCAGGTCGAATAGAGGCTTCACGAGCTTCAAAGGGCGTCAGGGGAATAGACGCTTCAGGCCGAATAGAGGCTTCACGAGCTTCAATGGGCGTCAGAGGAGTAGAGGCTCAGGCCGAATGGGCGCGTTTAGGGTCGCCACCCCACCAGTGCGTCGGAACTCGTAGGCCGAGTAGAGGCGTCACGAGCCGAATAGAGGCTTCAGGCCGAATAGAGGCTTCAGGCCGAATAGAGGCTTCACGAACTTCAATGGGCGCCAGGGGAATAGAGGCTTCAGGCCGAATAGAGGCGTCACGAGCTTCACCAGGCGCCAGCGGAATAGAGGCGTGACCGCAGCTCCTTGGGAGAATAGCGTCTGCAAATAGCGTCTTCGGCGCCGGTTCGAAAGGGGACCCCCCGGGGCCAGGCCCTTGTATATATATGTATATATATATATGTATGTATGTATGTATGTATGTATGTATGTATGTATGTATGTATGTATGTATGTATGTATGTATGTATGTATGTATGTATGTATGTATGTATATATACATATATATATATATATATATATATATATATATATTAGGGCCGGGGAGCCCACACCCCAGCGCCCCCCCCCCCAAAACGAAGTTCGCCTCCTCGGGCCTGTCTTGCGCCTTGCTGTGACCATCCTGGGGTCGTCTTGACGCCCCCCGAGTCAAGCGATAGTGTACGAGCGAGAAGGCCGAAAGCATTGTTTTTCACTGCGTTTTCTCTGCTTTTCCCGCTCTCCGGGCCCTGTTGCGCCAGCCTTGGGCCTCTTTGGGGCTCGTTTGTGGCCTCATTTGGAGCCGTCTTGGAGCTGTCGTATTGGAGCTGTCTGGACGCCCCAAGACCTCATCGGAAGCGACAAAGCGAGAAGACCAAAAACCTTGCTCTTCCAATGATTGTCCTAAAGTTGTCCGTCCTTGGGCCCCACTATCTGGGCCCACTTGCGCCAGCCTTGGGTCTCTTTGGGGCTCGTCTGGGGACTCATCTGGAGCCGTCTTGGAGGCATCTAGACGCCTCAAGAGACAATCGGAAGCGACAACAGGAAGCGACAAAACGAAACGGCTGAAAACGGCAAGAGGAGAAGGAAGCGGAATGAGGAAAAGGAGCGAAGAGCAGAAAGGGGATGAAGATGGAGAGGAGAAAGAGGGGGAGGTAAATGCGGAGGAAGAGCAAGAGGAGGAGGATGCCCTGTTTCATGCTACCCCAACCAGTCGCCTGAGACTTACTCGCGCCTCTGGGCACAGAAACGCCAAAAGCTGGCCAGAGCTGGCGTTGTCAAGTCGCTCCCGTTAAGGAGATCCTGACCCACTCCGACTTGGCGGTGGCCAGCCCCACGTCCACGCGCGCGCACGCCGCCTGCATTCGAACTCACAAGGACCAATGTGCATGGCGCGAAGCGCCAATGCAGTCGTGTGTATACATATATATATATATATACTTATATGGATGTAATGATATAATATAATAGTATAGTGTAGACTATAATATAACATAATACAAATTCATATAATATATCATAATGCGCTATAGTATGATATAATCATATGAAGTATACTTTAACATTATATAACATAGTATCATATATACAAGGTATTGTTGGCTCGCTTCGCTTCGCCACAACATCTTGTCCCTCGTCTTCATCCTTGGCGCAGGAGCGCGGGTCTGGTACCTCGCCGCGCTATGTGGTCACAACATGTGGCGAGCTCGTGAACTCTCATTGCCATAGGGGTGTAAACTTGATGTTTGTCGCGAGCTCGACGGCTCAGGGCTGCGTGGGTGTGTTTCTGTAAGGAGTGAACATGTTTGGAAGTGAAGAACCACCCGACGGGCCGAACCAATTTGTGGTTCACGTCGACGGCTGTTTTTTTCTTCGGGGCCCCGGATGGGAGCGTCTGGCGCTCTGCGGGCACGCTGGCGCCGAGGGGCCGTCGTGTGCGTGCGTGTGTGTGTGTGTCTGTTTTCGTAAGGAAAGAGCATGTGCGCGGACGAAGAGCCACCCGACGGGGCCGCACCATTTTTTGGTTCACGCTGACGGTTGCTTGTTCTTTTTCGTGCCTGGGATGGGGGGCGTCTGGCGCCCTCCAGGCACGCTGGCGTCGAGGGGCTGTCGTGGGTGTGGGTTTTCGTAAGGAAGTTCTTTTTCGGGCCCTGATGGGGGGCGTCTGGCGCACTCAGGGCACGCCGGCGTCGAGGGGCTGTCGTGGTGTGGGGCTTTCGTAAGGAAAGAGCATGTCCTGGGGCGCGGAGCCACCCGACGGGCCGAACCAATTTTTGGTTCACGTCGACGGCTGCTTGTTCTTTTTCGGGCCCGGATGGGGGGCGTCTGGCGCCCTCAGGGCACGCCGGCGTCGAGGGGCTGTCGTGGGTGTCTGTTTTCGTAGGAAAGAGCATGTGCGCGGACGCAGAGCCACCCGACGGGCCGAACCAATTTTTGGTTTACGCTGACGGTTGCTTGTTCTTTTTCGGGCCCGGGCGTCTGGCGCCCTCCAGGCACGCTGGCGTCGAGGGGCTGTCGTGGGTGTGGGTTTTCGTAAGGAAAGAGAATGTCCCGGGGCGCGGAGCCACCCGACGGGCCGCGCAAATTTTCGCTTCACGTCGACGGTTGCTTGTTCTGTTTCGGGCCCGGGATGGGGGGCGTCTGGCGCCCTCCGGGCACGCCGGCGTCGAGGGGCTGTCGTGGGTGTGGGTTTTCGTAAGGAGAGAGCATGTCCCGGGGCGCGGAGCCACCCGACGGGCCGAACCAATTTTTGGTTCACGTTGACGGCTGCTTGTTCTTTTTCGGGCCCGGATGGGGGGCGTCTTGCGCCCTCAGGGCACGCCGGCGTCGAGGGGCTGTCGTGGGTGTGGGTATTCGTATGGAAAGAGCATGTCCCGGGGCGCAGAGCCACCCGACGGGCCGAACCAATTTTTGGTTCACGTTGACGGCTGCTTGTTCTTTTTCGGGCCCGGATGGGGGGCGTCTGGCGCACTCAGGGCACGCCGGCGTCGAGGGGCTGTCGTGGGTGTGGGTCTTGAGCCCGTCCGGGGGGGTGGCGAATTAGGTGACGCCCATCCGGGGCCCGGGTCCCTTATCATTTAAAAGGGAAAAGGAATATGTATATACACAAATACCGCCCCCCCCCCTTGCCCCGCGTCCCACATCTCCCCGGAACATCTCGGGAACGCTCCCGGCACCGGTCCCCCCGCCTTTCCGGGGAGCCTCCACAGCGCTCCAGGAGTGCAAGACGCCGCCCAAGAGCTCCCAAAATACGAAAGGATGGCCCAAGACGTTCCCAAGCAGCCCAAGTTAGCCTTCCAACGGCTCTCGAGGCTCGCAGGTGGCCTGCAAGAGACCTCGAGAAAGGTCCGAGAGGCGTCCTGGCACGGCCCGAAGAGGCCAAAATCGTAGATGTTCCTTGTTTTTCTATGTTTTTGGTTTCTCGCGTTTTCGAGATTCCAACGCTCCAAGAATGCCGAAGAGCCGCCCAAGACCGGCCCAAGACCACCCACGAGAACCTCAGGACGGCCCCCAGACGGGCCAAGAAGGTTCCAAGACTGCCGAAGAGGCGCCCAGGACAGCCCCAGACCACCCAGAACAGGCCCAAGATGGCCCCAAGAGCGGGAGCAGGAGGCTTCTAGAGACCTCCGAGAGGCCTCCGGGACCCCCCAGAGGCCTCCAACACACCCCCGATCCCTGAGAGGCCCCAG